AGAACTAAACACAGGAAGTGGCTTTGTCACAGATCTGAAACAATTTCTGAAAGTTTCCAGTCTGAATTTGAAGTTTAAAAAAAGCTAAATAGAAGCCAGACAATGGTGCAGCAATAAAATACACACTCTGCAAGGCTGACCCTTGGGAAGGTTGTGAGTTCTCATCTGGAGATCTCCCTGAGTACACAGGCATATGTCCGAGTCAAGGGCTGGCTGGAATATAGAATATCCCTGTTAGGTTTACTGTCTCCCACCTCTTCTCCCTCATGGAAAAAAAATAAATTAAAAAATATACATATATAGGGACCATCAGTTAGCGTAATGGCTATGTTGCTGGACTCCCATGTAGTTGACTGCGGTTCGCATCCTGGACCCGGTGGCTTAAAACTCATGCTAGGCGCATGTGCATGCATGCCTAAGATCCCAAGAGGAGAATGGAAGAGAAGGGATTGCGGCGTGGCAATCCCCCCTGGGGAGTGATTTCTCACTTTCTGTATCTCTCTCTCTCTTTCTGGCGAGTGCATGCACCCTATAGCAAAAACTTCTCCTAAAAAAGAAAAATTAAATTAAATTAAAAATTAAAAAAAAAAAAAAATCCTGGACCTGGCAGCTTGCTTTCTCACTTTCCTCTCTCTCTCTCCCCCTCCAGCTCTCTCTCTGGTGAGTGTATGTGCCCTATAGCAAATTAAATAATAATAATAATAAATTTTAAAAATTAAAAAAAAGAACAAAAATATAGTCTGGGGAAATTGGAGTTAATTCCTGAATAGTCCACACTATTTTTCAATCATTCAATGAGGGAACCAGCAGTTAGTGTAATGGCTATGTCACTGGGCTCCCACGTAGTCGACCGTGGTTTGTGTCCCGGACCTGGTGGCTTAAAACTCACGCCGGGCACGTGTGCGTGCGTGCCCAAGATCCCGAGAGGAGAATGGAGGAGAAGGGATTGCGGCATGGCCATCCCCCCTGGGGGGTGATTTCTTGCTTTCTGTCTCTCTGTCTCTCTCTGTCTGTCTGGCGAGCGTACGCGCCCTATAGCGAAAAAAACCTCTCCAATCATTCAATGAATGAGCTTGGTTTTTTTGAGGAGAGGTTTTTGCTATAGGGCACGTGCGCTTGCCAGAAAGGCATACAGAGAGACAGAAAGCGAGAAGTCACCCCCCCAGGAGGGATGGCACACACATGCACGCGGCATGAGTTTAAGCCACCGGGTCCGGGACTAGAACCACAGTTGGCTATATTGGAATCCAGCGACGTAGCCATTATGCCATCTGCTAGTGCCCTCCCCCCACCAAAAAAAAAGAGCTTGTGCTAGGCTTCAAGGACATAAGGAACAAGATACACATCTCTACCCTTACAGAGTTAGCATTCAGCTGGAAAGACATCAATTCTACAATTAGTCACTTAATCATTAGGATTAACCTCATCAAATGATCATTTTTGTCAGTTAGTCAACTACAGATAATGTCTTATGGGTCAAAAACTACTACAAATGTGGAAAGCTCTACAGAGGGTACCTAGCATAGACTGAGTATCTTGAAAGGTGACCCTGAGGAAGCAACTTCTGAGCTGAGCTAGCTGAGCTAGGAGTTAACTAGGCAAGGATGAAAGAAGGGGAGAAGGACAGTGCCAGACAGCAGGAACAGCAATGTGGCTCCAACTGAAAGATCACAGACAAGTGAGGCAGAAAGAACTTCATTTGGTCTTTACCTTAAAAGGAAGAAGAGGCCACTGGAGCATTGTTTTCTAAGCAGAGGGTACTAAAAGATGTTTACTTTAGGGGCCAGCAGATGGTGTGGTGGTTAAGGGCGCTGGACTCTCACATGGCCAATCATGGTTCAAGTCCCAGACATAGTGGCTTGCTTTCTCATTTTCCCTCTCTCTCCTCTCTCACATTCTGTACCTCTTTGTTTAAATTTAAATAAATAAAGTTAAATAATTATTTTTTAAAAGTTCACTTTAAAAAGGTTACTCTTGTATTTAGAAGTGAGAAAAATGAAGTCACAAGGTGCACTGTGCTGAATGGACTGAGAAATGAGCAAGAGCAGAAACAGGGAGACCACAGGAAGTTTCCAGGTGAGAGAGGGTGGTCCTCTGGCTTGGACTGCTGGTGTAAGGGGGTGGGGGTGGGGGGGTTCAGAGATGATGAAGTGAAAACAGGTTTATCAGTCTTCGATTTCACCAAAACAGGTGGATTAGACGTGGAGGGGAGAACCGTGGATTATTTGATTAGTATTTACACACACTCTACACTTTTTTTTTTTTTTTTTTTGAGAGATTTTTGCTATAGGGTGCGTGCGCTCACCAGACAGAGACAGACAGAGACAGAAAGTGAGAAATCACCCCCAGGGGTGATAGCCACGCCGCAATCCCTTCTCCATTCTCCTCTCAGGAACGCACGCACATGCACCTGGCACGAGTTTTAAGCCACCAGGTCCGCGACTCAAACCGCAGTCGACTACGTGGGAGTCCAGAGACATAGCCATTACGCTAACTGCTAGTCCCTTAACTTTTTTTTTTAAGAGAGATTTTTGCTATAGGGCATGTGCACTCACTGGAGAGACAGAGATAGAAAGTGAGAGATTACACACACACACACACACACACACACAGGGGCTGCAACCCCTTCTCCACTCTCCTTTCAGGATCTTGGGCACACACGCACGTGCACCCAGCATGAGTTTTAGGCCTCCTGTCAGGATTCGAACCATGGTAGACTATGTGGGAGTCCAGTGACACAAACAGTACACCATCTGCTGGTCCCGACTCTTCAAAAGCGCTTAGATATTTTAAAAAGGGGCAGGGGCCTAGCTACAGAAGTGCAGCCTTTTGCATGATACTCTAGGAGAGACCCAAGGTATGGATCCTGGGGAGACCTTAACATGCCAGAGTGTGTCTGCAATTCTGGATGGCAGGAAGGCTGTGGGAGACTGGCAGCATGGCAAGGCACTGTGGAGGGTACCTGTCTGTCTCTCACGGAAAAAAATAAACAAAAAACAACGAGGCTGTCCTGTAGCCTAGTGCCAATCCTGCCGGCAGCTTCGGAAACACACTAGCAAGAGCGCATGTGTACCTAAAATCCCAACAGGACCAAGAAACGGAAAAGGGAACACAGTGTGACCACACCCCATGGGGGTGGGGGTTACTTTCTCTCTGGCACGCACGGGGCCCTTTAGGTACAATTAAAAAAAAAAGAACTTCCGTCCAGTGGGGAAATGGACAAATAAACACAAAATCCGGGGTGCTGTTACCCTTAAAGAGGGTAGTAGATCAGGGGCGGGAGGGTTTGGGGAAGGCTTCCCGGCTTTTAAACAGTAATGAACTAAAGGGCTCAAGGTGTTAGCTTCTAGTTTAACGTGATGTTGCACTGGAATTACTGAAACAAAACAGGCGCCTCCTTCCAGACTTCTCTAACAAACCCTAAAGCTCGGAGAGAAACGCCTGCGAAGGTCGGGCTTGTGGGCCGAACATTCAGGGGTATAGGAGTTTTCACTCGATGACCTCGCTGGCTCCCCACGACAAGATTTACCGAGAAATGCTCATTAAACTTCAACGACTTAATATATAGAGCGTTCAGTCTGACGGACTGAGACCTCTCGATGATGCGCTGCCATGGGACAGTTGGGAAACGCGCGAGAGACAGCAACACAAGACTAAGGAGGCCGGGTGCGCAGCCCCAGTTCCACGGACCTAAGCGCCGGCACCAAAGCAGGAAGCCAGCAGCCCCTCCCAGCGGCGCGCGGCCGCAGCAGGTGGGAGGGCCCGCGAGCCGGGCGGCCCGCTGATTGGCCAGGCCTGTGCGCCCTCTGACCTCACGCCGACGCCAGCGCACCCTCCTCCCGCCTTCTCCTGCCCCCTCCCCCAGCGTCGGCCGGTCGGCTCCCACCCTGCCGCCAGTCGGGGGCTCTTCTGGGCCTGGGCCCGACCCTCGCTAGCGCCCTGGGCTTTGGACCCTCACCATTTCCGCACTTTCTCGATGGCCGCCATCACCTTCTTGATGTCGTCCCTCCGTGCGCGCGTGCGCGAGGAAGCGCGCGCACTCGCCCGCCCCTTGGGGCTTGAAGTCTCCTCGCGCCTGCGCACCGCGCCCCAGGCGTCCCTCCCGAGTGCCTTGGGAGTCCCCTGGGCCCCTAGTGGGCTGGGGTGCGCGGCTAGGCGGCTGCACGTGCTTCGCGCGGGACCAGGTGCGAGGCGCTGCCAGCGGGGACCTTTCCCAAAGGATTTGGAGGTCAGCGTCTTGTTGTACTGGCCTGCGTTGCTGCTACCATGTATGTTTTATGAAGACCCTAGTAGAGCTGAGGTTCCACACCATGCAGTGCTGCTGCCTCTCCCATCCTGCACCCTGGCCTTCACTCACTTGTACCCTGCCTGGATACTTCATCTCTTCACCCAGTGAACAAACTATTTAACTCTTTAAACGTCCAGTTCAAATCCCAGGCTTCCCAGTTATTCCAGAGTTTCACCTAGAACAGCACTCTTATTCCACTGCCTCGTAATTCAGCAATTGTTGATTAAGTTATACATTGTATAAGACTGTACCAAACGCTGAGTCCGTAATGTGTTTTTGCTTTCAAAGGGCTTCCAGTTGAGTAGATCATACAGACCGCAAAACAAGGATTTAAAATGCCACGTGGGGGACCAGCAGATAGTATAATGGTTATGTCGTTGGACTCCCAAGTAGTCCACTGCGGGTCGAATCCCAGACCCAGAGGCTTAATTAAAGCTCAGGCTGGGCGCATGTGTGTGTGCGTGCCCAAGATCCCAAGAAGAGAAGGGATTGCTGTGTGACCATTCCCCCCCCCCCCCCGTGGGGGGGCAACTTTTTGTTTTCTCTCGCTTTGTCTCTCCTGTGAGCACATGTACCTTATAGCAAAAACTAAATTAATTAAACTAAATGCCATATGATAAATACTAGGCTAACAGAAGTACAAGGTACAATGACAGCCCTAATGTAGGAAAAGTAACCTTGAAGCTGACCTCTGAAAATACAGTAGATGCTGGGGACCAGCAGTTCGCGTAATGGCTATGTCGCTGGACTCCCACGTAGTCCATATGGTTCGTGTCCCGGACCCGGTGGCTTAAAACTCATGCTGGGCGCATGTGCGTGTGTGCCCGGGATCCCGAGAGGAGAATGGAGGTGAAGGGATTGCGGCGTGACTATCCCCCCTGGGGGGGTGATTTCTTGCTTTCTGTCTTTATGTCTCTGTCTGGCGAGCACACGCACCCTATAGTGAAAACCTCTCAAAAAAAAAAAAAATACAGTAGATGCTATCACTCTAAGACCTAACTGTCCACAGACACTGTCTAATACATGTGTGAATGTTGAGTCTTCGTGCAGCTCTTTTTCTTTGCCTCTGCACACACACAGGCAGGCATTTACTGGTGTTTATGCAGAGGGATCCTGTAGCAGCTGTTTCAGGAGACTTGAGAAGCAGGTTGGTGGGTGCCCTCACTTCCACGGAAACACCCTTCTGTGCGCCCTCAAAGAAGTGCCTAGCTAACCGTAGCTTGACACAACTCTGATTATGCCTTTCACGATCCACCAACACCAGAGCTTCTAAGCACATTGTGGTCCTGCTGTTGAGAGGACCAGGAATAGCTTCTGTTCGACTGAGAAGTGGGAGAGCTGCACCAGAATGTGGAAGGAAAGGATGATTCTGGAAATATCAAGATCAAAGGTGGTACATCTGTTTCTCAAGCCAAAATGATCTAAAAGAGCCCAACCCAGGCACTGCCTGAGTATTTGCCATATGCCCTACAGCCATGGACACTGTGGGTGGCACAGAGATGAGTAAGGTGCACTCTCTGACCTAGAGGCAAAGATAAGGGAAGAATAGGAAAATAAAATACAGGCAGAACATAGTGCTATGAGAGAGACCAGCTCTCCAGACTTCTCCAGATCTGTTCATGGGTCCCCCGGTCCAGACACAGAGCCCCAGACACCTGAGTATTCTCTTAACCCTTGTCCAAGTCCTAGCTAACCTCACCCCTGAGGTTTCTCTTGCGCTTTTTAAAATTATTGCCAGCGGGTGTGTGCACTAGCTAGAGAGAGGGAGGCAGAGAGAGAAGGAGAAAGCACCTCCCAGTGGTACAAAACCAAGCTCCAATTCCTTAATTTCTCCATTCTGTTAGGATGTGGGGCATGCATGCACACGTGCCTAGCATGTTTTTCAAGCTGTAGTCAGCCATGTGGGATCCTGTGCCCTTAACCTTTAGGCTATGGGGCCAGCCCCGCCACATACACCCACACACGGAAGTTTGTCATCAGTTGCTGCTTTTCTACTGCATAGCCCACAGCTCCTCTCATCTACACTAGCCTCCTGCACCCATCCTTCCTCCAGTCCATTCTGTCAGTCATTTTTCTCAGGCCATCCACTGCCCCAAAGTCCCAGAGATTCCTGTTCCTTCCCATACTTGTCCCTAGACTTACACCCACCTAAACTCCCTCTCCTCAGAGTGATCAGAGTGAGCACCTACCAACTATTCTTCATGGACTACGCAAATGCCCCTTTAAAAAAAAAAGTCACACCTCAAGTTCCCCAGATGAAAAGCCCAGCTAGATGCTGAGGACGATGTAGAGAAAACCAGCCCAAACCTCGGGCAACTTGCATTCAAGGCCATGGCGTCCCTTCTCATTTAAGTGTGAAAGCCACAGTGGCCTAATGCCAGGCAGTCCCCACAGATTCTGTTCTCACCTTCTATGACTCTATCCTTTGCTGTCTCTGCGCCAACTACACTCACTACCTCACTCATCTAAAAATGCCCAGTCAAGCTCCTGCAGGGGCTTTGCACATCAGTTCCTTCCACCAGGAACAGCTCCTCCAACCCATATCCATATATTTGCCTGGTTCACTCCCTTAGCTCCTTCACGTCTTTACTCAAAATGTTGTCTTCTCAATGCAGCCCTCCCTGGCCACTAAGACTGCAATATTCATATCCCCAAACATTCTTTCTCCAATTTTTTTACAAAACTTTTTTTGGGGGGTGGGGATTAATTTTTGTTATATGGTACGTGTGCCCTCTGGAAAGAGATACAGAGAGGGGAGGTGAGAAAATACCTCCTAGGAAGGATGGCCACACCACAATTCCTTCTCTATTTTCTTATACTGCACACATACATACTGGGCATGTTTTCAAGCTGATGGGTCTAGGACTCAAGCCTCATAGTTGGCCGCGTGGAACCCAGTTGCCTTAGCCACCATGCCACTGCCTGGCACATCTAGAACATTCTTCTTAACTAATTTTTTTTTTTTGGAGAGATTTTTGCTATAGGATGCATGCACTTGCTGGAAAGACAGAAAGTGAGAAGTTACCCTCCTAGGGTTGATGCCATGCCGCAATCCCTTCTCCTGCATTCTTCTCTTGGGATTTTGTGCACGCATGTACACGCGCTGGGTCTGGAACTCGAATCAAAGTCAAATACATGGAAGTCCAGCAATGTAACCATTACACCATCTGCTGGTTCCATAACTTCAGTATTTTACTTATCCATCTTACTTATTATCTCTCAGCATCTTCATGAAAGTGGCAACATGGTCCATTTGCTTTGTTCACTGATTATTCAGAGCCTACATCCAGTAGGTGAGCACTAAATATTTATTGAATGAATTAATACCCAACTTTGATGCTCTTCACTTCCACGAAGTCTTCTCCAGTTCATCTCAAGCAGAAAAAAGGACACTTCCCTTCTGTGCACCCCCCACCCCCCACCCCGGAGGACTCTCAACATTCTGCACCATACGCTGTTCTTCCCTCAGAGGCAGGAATTTCCAGGACAGGAAGATACAAAGCCACCAGGTGGTGTGGTGGTTAAAGTGCTGGACACTCCCACATGGCTGACCACAGTTCAAGTCCTGGGCCTGGAAGCTTGCTTTCTCACTTTCCCTCTCTCTCTCTGTCTCTCTCTCTCTCTCTCTGCTCAAATTAAAGTAAAATGAATGAATAAAAATTTTTTTAAACTATTAAAAAAAAAAGAGAAGATACAAAGCCACAACACTGAGTAGACATTAGCATGTGCTCTTGAAGATCACATGATGGATGCCAGCAGGTGGTGTGGTGGTTTGGGAGCACTGGACTAGTGCCGGACCTGATGGCTTGCTTTCTCTTTCTTCACTCTCTCTCTGTCCCTCTCTGGTCAAATTAAATAAATAATACGTAAAGTTAAATAATAAAATTATTATTTTTTAAAAAGATCACATGATGTATTCCTGCTTAATCGTAGTCTGAAATTCTTTTGTTGTTGTTATAAGGTGCACGTGCATGCCAGAGAGAAGGAAAGTGAGAAAGTATTGCCTGATGGAGATGGCCATGTGGCAAGCCCTTCTCCCCCATTCTTCTTTCAGGATTTTGGGCATGTACACACATGTGGAATGTCTTTCAAGCCACTGGGTCCAGGGCTTAAACTACATTAGTTGGCCATGTAGGACCTAGCTGCCTTAACCACCATGTCACCGACTGGCTCTGAAATTCTTTTACTTCTTCATTTGCTCTTTACTATCTGCTAAAATGTCAGTCTCACAAGAGCAGAGGCCCCATTGTTATGTTCACCATTACATCCACAAGGCCTTCATATAGGCTTGGCCTAGAGGAAGTACTCAAAAATAGAGTTATTAAATAGAGCCAGCTCTGTGGCATAGTGGTTAAGGGAGTTGGTCAACCACATGCTCTGAATCCCAGCCCCACAAGCTTGAAAACATGCCAGGTACATGCCCAAGATCCTGACAGGATGAAAAAATGGTGTAGAAGGCATTGCAGCATGACTACACCCCATTGGCAGGTGCTTTCTCCCTGCCCCCTTCTCTCTCCTAGCACATTCACCCTCTGGCAAAAAGAAAAAAGTTACAGAACAACTTTTCATAGCCAACTATGAATGAATGAATGAATGAATGAACACTGTTTTTCCTCACAGGTTCTCTTTCATATCAGCTGTTTTCTCCCTTTCTGCCGTGTACATGTATCTTTAAATCATCCCACATTTTTTCCCTTTATGAGAGAGGGAGACAGAT